CCCCCTCCCCTCTGACCAGTCCTCTGGGGTGACTCTCTCCCTTTGTGCCTCACCTGGCTGCCTGCAGCGTCATTTTGCAGGTGCCGGGCATGGAATCTTTGCCTTGCGCAGGAGACTGAATTGGACTGCAGCATGGCGAGCTGTGAAACTTGGCAAATTTATTTGAACAAACAGAATGCTCAACTGGAGCGTTTGTGTGCGTTGGCAGGACCGGGCAGGCCTTTGACACCGAGGCTGCCTTTGGATCAGCAGGCAGTGCCCCTGTGGTGCGCTGCTGCGGCTTCAGCTGGCTCCTGCTCACGATGCTGCTGGAGCCTTTTTCCCCCACAGGACCTGCAGGAGCTCCTGCAGCCGAGTAAAGAATTCCACCAGCTTCTGGAGTGGAAATGGGCAGTCCGTAAAGCTGCCCGCTTGCGCTGGTGTTGGCTGCGGACTCTGTAAGGGGGTTGATGTGAATACGGGCTGTGGCCTTGGAGCAGCCGTTGCTGCTGGGTGCAGCCCCATCTGGACCAGGATCCAGTCATAAAAGTGCTGCGTGGAGGTGTAGACTCCGGGCCGCTTGGCTCTTGTGCAGCCTTTCCCCCAGCTGGTCACCCCAACAAGCCAGAAGTACTCGGCATTGTTATCCTGGCAGACGAGAGGCCCACCGCTGTCACCCTGCAGCAGAGGAGGGAGGGAGGGGTCAGGGGGTGTCGGGTGGCCGCTGGCAGCACCAGGCCTGGCTCCTTCTCTCTCACGGCACCCGCCAGGGCTGTGTGCGCTGCGCAGAGAGGCTCTGCTCAGTGCTGGCGCCTGCAGAACCTTGCCAGGGAGAGGGGAGTGGGCCTGTGGGGTAGGGCGCTCTCTCATCTCCTACCTGGCAGGTGTCGATGCCGCCCCACGGGTACCCAGCGCACAGGTTGTGGGGGTGGACGGCCCCTGCGTACCACCGGCTGCTGTTGCAGACGTGGACGTTGATGAGGGGGACCTTGGCCTCCTGCAGGACATCCGTCGGGCCTCCAGCTGCGAGCACAGAAAGGAATTAACACCCAGCAGCTCGGTGCCAGGTCTCCTGCCCTGCCTGGGTGAACCACTCCCTTCCCTGGGGCTCGGCTTTGCAGCGTGACAGGCGCTGCCCCGGCGCTGCCCTTCTGCCTGGCCTCGGGCCCTGGACCAGGCCCATCTCTCTACGAGCACACGTCCCCGCAGTCGCGCTCTGGCTCTCGCCCCTGCTGTCAGGAAGCCCAGCCCACCTCCCCCGTGTGCCGAGCTCGCACTCAGGACACGAGCACTCTTGGGAACTCACCTCTCGCCATCGTGGACCCCCAGCCACTGACGTAGCAGTTGGTCAGCTGTGACACTCGCAGCGAGGCGTCGGGCACGCAGGCCAGCTGTACGTGGTAGCCGCACTGCACAGGCTGGTCCAACTCCAGCAGCGCAATGTCGTTCCTCTCCCAGACGCTGCTGTAGTCTTCGTGCACCACCAGGCGCTTAATATTGCGCACTTGTGTCTCCGGGCCGAGCTGAGTCAGGTGGGTGGCCCCGATCACTACGCGCCACATGTTGACATGCCTGGAAGGCGGATGGGGAGAGGGCTCAGAGGGAGCCATGTGCTGCAGCAGCCCAGCAGTCCCCTGCATCTGCTTCACACGGGGCAGAGGAAAGCAGCGCTACAGAGGCTCAGACTGCCCTAGCATGCCTTGGGCTCCAGGCGTGTCGAGCTGGAGGCTGTAGGAAGCTGTGGCGGGAGCCCAGCCCTCTCCTGAGCAGCCTCTCAGCCGGGCTCTGCAGTGCCCAGGCACTGGGCGTACCGCAAGGAACGGGGATGGGAGGAGCCCGTGCTGCTGTGGACGGGGCACCCGCGAACTCTGGGGGGATATCCGCGGTCCTGACCCTCCTTACCTGGCCCTGATGAAGCAGTGGGCTGCTGTGAGGACCCACTGCGGGCTGATGAGTGATCCCCCGCAAATGTGCCCTGTGCCTGGTCTCCAAGGATCCTGGATGCTGACGATCCAGGGCCAGGCCCCTGCCTGGGCGTCTGTGCCCCCCACGACACGCGACGTGCCCGACTGTGCAGCCATGGGCCGGAGCCCGCAGGTCCCCCTGTAACCAGAAACTCATCACCGTCCTGCTCGATGGCTCACTGCAGTCCCGGCTGAAGGTCAGCCCTCTGCCTTCACCACGGGGCGCTGCATGGACAGCCAGGCCAGAGAACCCCTGTTTCTGCTGCAGCCCCGCAGGCGAGTTGTGCCAGCGGCTCGGGTGCTGCAAGGAGCCGAGACCCTGCGTGGGGCTGGGGAAGCCGTGCTGTGGCCACGGGGACAAGCGGGCACCCTCCAGGGAACCCCATCAGGGTGCCCAAGCTCCCTCCCAGGGCCTCGGCCACTTACCCACAGCTGTCCCAGGCGCCGTGCACAGGCCGGCTCAGGGCCAGCAGGATGAGGAGCGGAAGCATAAGCATTGCTGCCAGAGGCATGTGCCAGCTGCCAGAACCGAGGGCTTGTTGCCACCAGTGCAGCAGCAGACGACACACTGCCCGCAGGGTTGGCGTTGCCCACAGTGCCCTCGGCAACGGGGCTGATGTCACAGTGTCGCTGGTTCCGGGGCCTGGGCACGGTTGTCTCCAGGGGCACGGGGCCACAACACGGGGATTTCCAAGCAGGAGGGGAGGCAGACGCGGGGATCGGACACCCCCGACAGAGCCCCGCTGAATGCTCTGCTTGTGGGATGGGCTGTGCAGGCCCCATGGCAGGCAGCAGCGCCTGACCCCCAGCACTGCCTGCCAGTGGCGAGCAGGAAAAAGCCCAGTGTAGCTCCACAGCCTCTTTGGGGGGTTCACTGCCCCCCTGTGCTACGCTGCCCTTTGCCACCAGGTCCTTCCCAAAAAACATACACCAGAGAACGTGACTACTACAGGCAGTAGGTGTGTTTGGGTGTTGCAGAGCCCATCTGGTTACAGCCGTGGCAGGCAAGCAGCGATGTGCGAGCCCAATAAACCCAGCAGAGCCAAGCAGTGTCACCCTTCCTGCACAAAGCGCTGTGCAGCACACGTAGCACTGTCCACTCTGGCCACATCAGTCCCGGCAAAGCCCTCTGGCAGGCTGCCTGTCCTTGCTGTCTGTGCGTTCTGTTGCTGTTCTGGGCCAGCACCCACAAGGGCGGTTGTGGCACCTGGTACGCGTGGCCGAGGACAGGCAACTGCAAGCCCTGAACAGAGAAGGCTGCTCCTGCTCTCAGCCCCACATGCCATTCTCCATGGCTTTGGGAAAGCCTGGAGCAGCCTCAGCTCTGCCTTCTGCAGCTGTATGGCGGAGCCGTGCTCACGTGCGGGCGTGCAGGGCAGTCACGAGAGGGAAGCAGGGGATGTGCTCAGAGCAGGCAGAAGGCGGCCTGAGAGAAGGCATCTTGTCTTCTGTGGATACTCTGCTCCTCCAGTACCAGATTTTGCAGGTGGTTAAAGGAGAATGATGTGAGAGATGGCCACACTTCAGAGATAATTGAAGGAAGAGATGGGGTCATTTTAGGGAGAGGAATCTGGCAGGGACAGCAGAACATAGGAAACCACCTGAGGAAAGCCATGGAAGTCCAAGGTGACCTCGCCAACAGCACCTGAAACAGCAAATCTGTTCACAGATGTTGTAAACCTGGGAGCAGGTGGGAAAAACAACCCGGGGTGGATCCCTTGTGTGAGAGGAGATAAGGGCGGAGAAAAGGAGGAGTTGAGGAAGATGAGGCAGGGGGAATGAAGCTTTGGGTGGTCCCGGCCAGCGGGGGGTGGTGGGGGCACGGGCCGGCAGCACGGGGCACTCTGTGTGGGTTTGTGGAACGTGGGTGTCACACCAGGTGTCTGAAGCACAAGGTGCCTCGAGTTCAGGGGCTCAGCCATAGGGGCCTCGGGTGCTGCCCATTTCCATCCCGTTACAGACACACACACACACACACACACACACATAGACATACACACACACCCCCACACACCCCCTCTCCTTGGCACTGGAAAACAAACAGCTGATTGTGGTCGTAGCAGTGACACAAGGGGCACGGAAGCAGGTTCATGGCCACAAGCCCCTTCCCAGCCTGGCTGTCAGGTAGAATTGCTCGTATGGAATCAATAAAGCCTGGCCCATCCACTGAGCCACACCTGGAGGCAGTGGGGGGCTAGAACCCAGGCAGAGGCTTTGTGCTCAGGGAGCTCGGCTCTTCCTGTGCTGGATGTGGGGGGAAGGGTATGGGAATCACCCCCGAGCCAAGCAGGAGCTGTGAGCATGCTACCCACGCTCTGGCATCCCGTAACCCTAACACCCCATAACCCTAGCACCCAACACCACTATCTCTCCTAAAACTAGTTTAGAACAACCCCTGAAAACCCTTACCCCAGCACTGCATAACCCCGGCACCCCAACTACCGCAAAGCCCCAAGAACAAAGGCGGTCAGCAGCTGCTACCCCTGAGCAGCCAAGAAGCCCCGTTTTCATTGGGTCTGTCCATCTAAAACTCTGCCCTGTAATTCAGGGTAGAACTGAATGTTGTCGACATAAATCTTATATGAAGTGTTACTTTTTTTCTGCAAATTAAAATAAACAATAGATCTTGCCATTTCGAAAACAAAACAAAAAAACAACAAAACCAACCAAACAAAACAGAAAAAAACAACCCAAGAAGAACTTGTTCACAAGAGCAGAAGCCAAAGCATTTGGATAGAGTGGACATGTTCTTGCTACCAGCATTGTCCAGGAAAGCCGACCAAGAAATCCCAGCAGGTCGGAGTAAATGCCATTTCCTAGAGCAGATACACTGGAGTCAGCCTGTAGTCTTTCAATACCCAAGGATATTGCTTCAAATTTGCAGCACCAACTTCACAATCTATAGAAAACTCAGTACACTTCAGCCTCCAAGTCAGTTGTTATTGCAGTGCAATGAGGCCAAAACTGTTGGTCCTTAACAGTGATGAGAAAAAGAATCCTTACCACACCACTTGTCAAAATACCGCTACTCTGAAATTTGCCTACACTGCTACAGCTCCCGCTTCACTCCAACTTCCCTTAAGAAAAAACCGTGCCGTTCTTCTAGCGCTTGCTCTAGCCACATGCGCAAACAATACTTTCCTATTCCGTACGTACCAAGCTTTTAGACTTGGCTTTTTTACCATCTGTAGTCAGGTTCCTGATAAGCAGTAAAGCACCTTGTCCTGGAGGCACTCCCCTCTTCGCCCCACTCTACCCCCATTAAAAAACACACCCACTCTACCCCATGGACAGACCTTGAACCTAAACTGAAAAACAGGGTTTTGTTTCAAAACTGTCATTGAAATGGCTATCCAGAGCTGAAGTACTTCTCATGGTCTTCGTTTTTCAGCATGAGGTCCCTCTGAAAAGCTTAAAGATTATGAACAATCAATCACCTCACTCACGTTTTGCCCACAGTTTAATCACACAGAGCGTGAGCCGCGAGTTCTCTTCATCTGACGCTAGATGTAGCATTTCCTCAGTAGCTCGAAGAAAAAAGGTGAAGTACAGAAGTTCCTAGTAACAGGTCCAGGTCTGGTTTATGCTACGCTCTATCAACAGCTTACAATTGATCATTCAAACCTATGAAAACAAGTTTGGATTTCTCGCTTTGTAGTAGCTTGAAAATTACAGATTACACATAACATTCGGTATCCCTTCAGGTAACTGGTGCCCTCAACAGCTTTGTCACAGTTTATAGACTACGCCAACCATTTTTCATAAGGCCTTTCTAGAGGATTCCGAAAGCCAGGTTTCTTTCAACAGCCAGAAACAATTAAACCAGTCACTGTTAAACAGTGAGCCCAAGTTAGGCTTCGGGTATTTTAAATGTCTTTATTTTTTTTACGCACTACCACACATTCTTCTCTATCAAGCGTTCCACCCACTCTTCTGAAGCAGTCTCTGTGGCAAACTGGAACAATGCACACCCCCTGATCCACGAAACGTGAAAGACAGGTCTATCTAAAGACACAACTTCTTGAAACGTCTAAATGTAAGCCCACTCGCCACCTCCTCAGATCTCAAGTACACAGGAGATCAGTTCAGGCACCTTGTACTGAAACTGGAGTTGTGTAATGTGCGTTCTAGACCCATTTCAGGAACACTTTCCTTTTAAAGATGCGTAAACATGCTCACCATTTCAGCTCAGTGTGCATCTCGTAACCAGGCTTCTCAGATGCCAGTCACCTGAGATCAAGATTGTCAGAAACAGTTTGCACACACAGTCTTGCACACACCAGATCCATCTCAAGAGGGAAAAAGGTGCCAGCCATGAGTTAGAATGCTGCACTGTTTGTGAACAGCACACCAGTGGTTGACAGCCAAGTCTAAAAAGAGTGGTTAACATTTGTATTTAGAGCTATGGGACTATAGACACATCTCCCAAGAGATTTATTTGCCAAAAAAATCAAGAAAATTGCCTGAAGTCCCAGATTTTCTTGGCAAAACCTTCATTGTATCAGCCCCTTCTTTTTAAGCTAGGGAAAGGAAGTCAAACAGACTACTCTAAACTTAGAATTTCCATTAAAAGGGAACTTAAAATTCACCACAGAATTAAGAGCTGCATTCCATCTCCTCAGCTGTACCTCCGCAAAGGAGAGAGCATTTTCTCTACGCAGTAAGCCCTTTTGATCCTGAAGCGTCTGGTTCATAGTACAGTCCGAGGCAAGAAAGTTATTCTGTGAAGGTCTGCGCCAGACAAAGGCCACAAGAAGGTCACGGAATAAGTGTCTTGGTGAGAGCGATACCAAGCAGTGACTTGCTTAGGTCCTGCAGCACGTAGGTCCCCGTTCACTGTGTAAGATGTGCTCCAGCTCCAGGGATTCCTGCAGCTGACAAACCCAGGCAGGAGGAGCCACAGGAGTACGTTTCCATTTCATTTTCCAGATTGTCTGTCTCATGAGCACCTCACTTCTGATTGCCACAAAGCATTCAGTCTGCTGACATGCTTCACACAGGGAACGACACCACACCCAGCCCTCTGGAGAAAGGCAGCTTGTCAGAGCTGGGAGGAGTCAGCAAGGGCACTGCCTCTCCTCCCACTCTGCCCAGTCCTTGTGAGAGAAGTGCTGTTCAAGCAGACTGCCCTGCTCTACAGCACAGGTTTAGAAAGGGATGTCCCTGACGTTCCCATGCCCGCCAGGCTTCCTAGGGGCTTATTTTCCTATAAGCTCCCATTTTACTGCAGCGTCTTCTCCTGGGACAGGCTGTGGTCAGGCTATTTAATGACAGTTTCCTCTAAGGTACCAGTAACCTGGTAAAATAGCATGGTCACAGGTCCCTGCAGAAGTTAATCTATTCCAAAGCAAGAAAAAAGTATTTCTCACTTGAAAAAAAAAAAAAAAAGCAAAATGCTTACCTCAACACCAAACTCAAACTTGACAACTGGTACATACCTATCTTCAACTGCCTGAAAAGGAGCAGGTAACTGTGTAAGAAAATATTCTTTGCTACTTCCATGGTTTTCCTAAACTGTAATAAACTCATTTACTCATTCTATCTTCTCTAAGAGAACCAAGAGAACTTCTGCCATCCGTAGATGGCGACCTTTACTCTTTACCAAGACTCCAACTCGCTAGAGCACACCTTGTTACTCAAGGACAAAAGCATAGTATGTTGCTGAACATTGCAGTTCTTGGTAGATTTTCACAGTGAACTGCTTTGTTTTGATGAGCACAGTAGTCCTTGGTAAAATTCCACAGAACAGGCTGGGCAAGCAGGATTCTTAGCAATATTCAAAAATTATGATAAGTAATATTATAACTTGTTATAAGGAAGTAAATAAGCTGCTAAGCCGTTTTCTATAAGTAAATAAGTAAATATATCTCAAACCAAGTAATGATTTCTCTGTGTCATCTGGGAGGAACCTTGGGCAGATCCCAGAGAAGAGAGCATCCTTTCAGGGAGAAAAACCTCTTGGGTATCTTCCTTGGAGGAGTCTGGGGGTGCTACTCAGGACTAGCTGCCCTAAAGCAGAGGTGGAAAGGCTCCAGGACACGCCTGGGAGGAGTCTTGTGTGTATCCTGGAGCAAAAATCTTCCTTTACAGGAGAAAACACAGCTCAGGTGGCTTCCTTGTGGAGTCTGGGGCTGCTAACTGACATCACATGTCTTTAAGAGAGAGGTCAGAGGAGACAAGGAGCTGCCTGTGAGTTGCGCTTGGTGCATCCTGGAGGTGGCAGCTTTTGCCAAAAGATAACGTGTATTTCAGGTGGCTTCCTTGGAGGAGTGGGTTGCTACCTGGGATCTCAGGTCCCTGAAGCAGGGCACAAGACAGTCTGGGACATGTCTGGGAGGAATCTCGGGCACATCCCAGAGAAGAGAGTGTCCGTTGAGGGTGAAAAACCTCTTGGGTGTCTTACCTGGAGGAGCCTGGGGCTGCTACCCAGGATTAAGCCTCTCTAAATCAGGGGTCAGAAGACTTCAGGACGTGCCTGGAAGGAATCTTGGGTTTTAAATGCCTGTTACATTTAATGTGACAAATTAATTTGGGGAGAGATGAATCCCCCTGCATTCTAGTCATTCCCCAGAGATTAGAGGGCCTGAGGGTCTGGGCTTATCTATTCATAGGTATGTCATTTATTGCCATGACTGTCATCCTGGCAGCAGCCGCATGAACAGCCCTGGTGCTGTAGGGCCTGTTCATTCAAGAGAAGCCGTCAGGGTCACCAATAGTACGGTTTATTCTTATGCAACATCCACAGATTCTTTGGGATTGCCTTCGATATATGCACAGGCTGCAGGTTGGCTGTAGAGCACTACCCACAAAAATCGATTGCCATCACACACAGTTGCCAGGTAATCACTCGGCGTAGCCGAGGGCCCAAACCTTACCAAAAGGCGTCCCTTCTGGGGCGGGGGTGTGAGGAGCACAGACCCATCGGTCTGTGCCTCCGATGTGGGGTCGGATTTTCATCCCTCCGAGTTAGATACATCTCGGGGTAGTATTTAGCCAAGTGTGTATGTGGGAGTGGGTGGGACTGTGGTCAAGCCACACTTCCTAACAGCAGAGTTCAGTGCAAAGCACAGTTTGTGCTCATTAGCATCAACGTACCAGCATCCAGGTGCTACACGGCTCTTGAGCAGCCGTTGTTGACAATGCATGACTAATACTGTAGACACCAGAGAATTTATTTACAGGTGAAACAGTTCTTGAAAATGTGTGGTGTTTGGGACACTGTAAAAGAGTGTCTGCATGATAAGCTCCTTACCCAGTCGTCGCTGCAAACCGCGGGTCTTTCCAGATCTGTATCTCCTGTGCCATGACAGAGTCCAGTTTCAAGTTCTCTGGTGCATTGTGCACACACACAAGGATCCCACCAGTAGCCGGCAAAGACACTTTGCGTTTCCAACTGCTGTGCCCGAGACCTTTCAACCCCCTCTTTCACCACCCCCTCCCCCTCCCCCTCTGACCAGTCCTCTGGGGTGACTCTCTCCC